TGAGCCCAGGATCGGTGCATACGCCCTCCTGCCTTGGCCAGGAAGGCATGTGCACCGATCCTGGGTCAAGGATGGGCCTTGCCAGGATCGGTGCATGTGCATAGTTCTCTTCGCCCGAAAGCGTTGAAACACAAATTGTGCCAATCCGTGCATGTGCGGTCTGGCACAGCGGGGCGGCACCCGCGCGACGCCAAGGACCGCCACACGGAACCCGGCAGACAGACCGCCACGGCAGCAGACGAAGTGCACCCACAAAAGCACACGAAGGGCGGCCTGCTCATTCTCTTCACGAAAGGGGGGGAGCCAGGAACCATCGGAGTAGGTCGGGCATGTCCTCCAACAGGCGAATTCTGGAAGAAAAACTAACGCAGCTAAAAATAAAAAAAGCATAGTAGCAAGAACCACAAGAGCGCGAAACATCGTCAACCTACGATCTGTGTTGCCATCCTCGAATAGTACTCCTGTAGAGGGACATGCCCGAGTTAACCATAAGACGAAACCAGGACGAGGGCAAAATCGAGTGAGCGACGATCAAAAACGGGCCTCTCGCGAGATGGCACAGCGACCTCACGCGGCGGCTTACGCGGGCCGCCAGCGTGGCGCGCCGCGTTGGGCAACGAGGGCGCTCGCGCGCGACCTGACGCGGGCAGCTTACGCGCCGATTGTCGGCGCAGACGACCCACTTCTTCGCGCCTCTCGGGTGAGGATGGACCGGGAACCCCTGAGATCCCGCGGCTCTGGAGCATACCTCGGGCGCCGCGGCCTTCCCAGAGCGTTCGCGAAGGCTCGGAGAGCGTTCCGGAACGCTCCGGAACGGATCGATCCTGGCCCCAGCCCCGCTCGAAGCCAACCAGACAGACAGACCGCCCGAGGGCGGAAAGAAGCACCCGCAGTGGCCCGCAGGCCCGCCCGGCCTGCCGCGCCCTGCTTGGCCTCTGCAGGACTCTGCCTGGCTGCCTGCCCCCCGCCCCCCCGCCCCTGGCCCATGGCAAGAGGCCTCCCGGATGGCGCCGGAGCAGAGGGGGTCGGAGGATCGCGCCGCATCGCTCGGGAGCGGCCAAGAGGGGGGCGTCCAAGAGGGGGGGGCGCAAATCATGACCGGCGGCATGTGCGCGGCCCAGCGGGGGGGCCAGGGACGTAATGAAATGAGAAGAGGCGCCATGAGATCTGGGGAAATATCATGGCCCCCGCCAGGATATCCAGCCCCCCCTAGTCATCACCCCCCGCTTTTCCGCCCCCGAATCGCCGACGCATCGGCGATGGACCAGAAATGTCCTGGCGACGCACCGGCGATGCGTCGTCGGCGTATGGGCGACGCATCCGCGACGCCGACGTGGAGCAGATCGGGCTCCACACCGAGCCGCAGCGGCGATGCGGAGCGAACCTTCGACCCCATTCCAGGAGGCCCAGACATGGCCAGCTGGCCACGGACCTGGCCATGCTCTTCCGCTCGGTCGGCGCCAGCTCGCCTCCCCCCTGCGAGATGTAGGGCAGCACCTGCCTCTCGCGCCTGCCGCGCCTCGCGGCTGCACGCGCCGCCCCGGCGCCCGCGGCGACCCCGTCGCCGCCGCCGACGTCCACGGCGCCTGCGCGGGACTTCTCGATGTCCACGAGCTCCATCGCCCACTCGCGCTCGTACCGCCTCCGGGCCTCCTGGATGAGCGCGCCAGGCCGCGCGGCGTCCGGCGTGGGGGGCGCGCCCCCGCGGAACCCGGACGCCACGTCGTCCGGCGACGCGAAGTCGTCCGGGTCGTACAGCTGGTCCTTGTGCCGCCCAGGGCGCAGCCACTCGGACTCGGGCGTCAGCCGCGCCTGCAGCGGGGGTGCCGCGGCGCGGACGGGCCGCGGTGCGAGGCCGGGGAAGAGCGGGGCGGCGCCGGAGGCGTGCGCCGGGGCGCGCTGCGCGGGGCCTCCCGCGCCCGCGTGCCGCGGCGCGGGGTCGAAGCGGATGACGGTGGGCAGCACCACGGGGCCGTCGCTCTCCTCGTCGCTGCAGCCCATCGGGTCCCCGGGCACGCCTGCGTCGGCGAGCGCGAGGCCCAAGCCTGCCGGCGGCGGCCGAGCCGAGAGCCTGTCGGCAGGGGCTGCGCCCAGGGAGGCCGAGGGGCCTCCTTCTTCCCGCACCGCCTCCGGTCTCAGGTCCGACAGGTCTGGGAACAGCGAGCTCATGAGCTCGCTGACGCGCAGGGAGTCGCGGTCGTCCAGGGTGTAGTGCTTCTCTTCCACCCTGTAGTCAGCCACAGCCTGGCTGGCTGCCCCTCCTCTACTTTCAGTGTCGCCTGCGCGCTCCGAGGCTTCCCCGAGACCCCAGTCACTCAGCGCGTCGTGCAGCGGGCTGCCTGCCGGAGCGGTCTCAGCGCCGTCGGGCGTCTCCGCACCATGGGCGCCCACGTGGGTGGGCTCGACCTCCTCGTTCTCTATGGCTTCGGCGGCGGCCTTCGCCTCCGCCTCCTCCTCCTCCTGCCGCCGCTGCTCGCGCCGCACTCTGGCCCTCTCGGCCCTCCTGATGCGCCGCATCTCCAAGAGGTCGTACACGCGCTTCCTGATGCCATCCTTCACGATCTGCTTCTGGACTTTGAGCTTGCCTAGCTCCTCCCGAAGGCGGTCCATCCCCTTCTGCTTCAGCGCGCTGATGGGTATGGGCGAACCCGCCATCCTTTGATAGTCCTTCATCTCATCCTCCAGCATTGTGATGCGCTTGGCGAGCTCCTTCGACTTCACTTTGTCACACTTTGTGAGCACCAGCTGCCACTTCACATTGTGACGCTCCAGGTATGATATCCGCCGATCCCTTTGGTCTCATCAGGCATGAATCTGAAGCGGGTGATGTACGGGAGCACCTGCACCTTCGGACGGGCCCAAAGAGCCCAAAGAGGGAGGGGTACGGGAGGCCGCCAGAACAGCCCCAGAGGCCTCAAGAGCTCATGAAACACACGAAGGCCGCAAGAGATGCCCCAGGCATTGAAAACCGCAGGCTTCCCTAGTTTTCATGTACGAGGAAGAGAAGCCCAACGTGACCTCAGGAGTGCCTAAGAAGGCCCCCGAGCCGGCCACAAGCGAGCAAAACGCTCCAAGACAAGTGATCTGGCGCGAAAAACCCTCCAGACGACCCAGAGACCCCGACAGAGAGAATGCCTGGAGGGACCTCGGACGGCCCCTAAAGAACGCCCAGAAGTCCCAAGACGGCCCCCCCAGCGCGCCAAGACAACCCTGCAATGCCCCAATACGGACCCGAGGGAGCCCAAAGAGGACATGCGGACGGTAACAATGTGCGAAAATGGTTGAGTCTTCCAATTGTTTTGGGCTCCAGCCCGCTTCGGCTCAAGATAGCTCCAAGAAGGCCTCGGAAGAGCTAAAGAGAGTCCAAAGGGGCCCAAGAGAGCCCCAAGACCGCCCCACCCCAAAAAGCCCTAACAGGCAGGCCCACTAGACGGCGTGTGGAAGGGCACAAGACCAACCAAAATGGCTACACACCAGCAGAGGGTCCTCTAGCTGGCCCATGACGGTCCCAGGAGGCCCCCAAGACGGGCCAAGAGGCTTGCAAGACGGCCGGCCCAAGAGAGCCCCTAAGAGGACCCCAATAGCCTCACAAGATGGCCCAGGAAGGCCAAGCTAACTTCCCAGCACGGGCCCAGAGGTCCACCTGAGATGCCCAAGAGCGAGGACCGTCAGGGGCGCGAGGAGGATGGGCAGGAGGGGAGGAGGTTTAGGTCGGGCATGTCCTCTCACAGGCGGACCTTGTAGGAAAAACAAAAGGGAGGCACACGTATTCAAAATAGAATGATCGCCCCCAGCCCGACTTAAGAAGAGGGCGGAACAACCCAAAAAAACAGCATCAGCATAAACTTGTCGGACCTCTGCGCAAGTCTGCTGGATCGGCGCTGGGCCCCCCGCCCTGGCGCGCGCAGCGCACCAGGGGCGGCGCCAGAGGCGCCGCCAGGAGAGGGGGGGGGCAGATCAAAGAAATCCCCGCGGAGTTACGAACGTTGATGTCTTTGCAGCTCCTTGCTCCCCGAAAGGAGGAGGAGGAGGGGGAGGAGGAGGAGGAGGAGGAGGAGGAGGAGGAGGAAGTGCCGATGAGGGGAGCTTGGGCGAGCAAGCGAGCGGCGCCGGTACCTGGCACACAGACGCGTCCGCGCCCTATTTGGGCAGGGCGCGCGGGGCCGTAGCCCGTGGCCTCACATCGGAGGAGGCAGGAGGAGGCAGGAAGAACGAGGAGGGAGCATGAGGGAGAAGGGGGAGGAGGCGCAGGAGGGCGAGGGCGAGGGCGAGGGCGGGGATGGATGGAAAGGATGAGGATGAGGATGAGGATGAGGATGAGGATGAGGAGGAGGAGGAGGAGGAGGAGGAGGAGGAGGAGGAGGAGGGGCACAGAGGGCGAGGGTAGAGACGAGGAGGAGCACCTGGGCGAGGAGGGGCACGAAGGCAAGAAGGGGAGGAGGAAGGGTGACAATGAGAGGATAAATCTCGCACGCCACGGGTGGACTGCTCCAGCCTCGCGGCCGACATGTCCAAGATGTTTTCGACCGAGCGGGCGGGACGGGAGGTCCAGGCTGGCCGTGGTAACCCGCGAAGCGGTGAGCATCATCTCCTTATCGGCGGGCTTCAGACCCCAGCGCGCGTCTGCCAGCAGGAGCACGCGCGCCAGGTTCTTCCGGAAGCGCAGGTACCACAGCGTGAACTCCGTCCACTGCAGGCGCGTCATCTCCCGCGACGTCGCAAACCCGTAGCCGGGCAGGTCCACGAGGCAGAGCTGCGCGGGCCGCCCAATCTGCCAGAACACGAGCTCCGTCGTCGACCCGGGCTCGCGCTTCACCTTCCAGGGCCGGGCTACAGGGACCACGCGCGTTCGTACATGCTGAAAAAGATGCGAGTGTGTGTGTGTGTGTAGCACGAAACGCGCTTCCTACACATGGTTTGGCTACGGACCAGTCCCACCTACGGTGCCGAAACCCTCGGCGCCGTTACGCAGCACACCGTCAGCCCTTCTCTACGGGCCTTCGCGCTGTACCGCCCGCAGAGGAAGTTGACCAGGGTCGACTTGCCGCTGTTGGAGCGCCCGCACAGGGCAACCTCGGGCAACCGGGGCAGCGGGAGCTGCGAGGGCTCCAGGGCCGCCGTCCAGAGCTTCATCCTCGGCTTCATCTGCCCCAGGAAGACGGGGGCATACCGCCTGTACCGCATCTCGTACCTGTGCGTGTGGAAAAAAAAAACAGAGAAGCGCAGACTTTGCAACCCCGGGAGCTCCGCGCGGGCTTCTCTTGGGTCGGCGCTGGGCCCCCCCGCGGCAGCGCGTGCGGCGCCGCAGGGGGGGGCCCAGCGCCGCTCCAAGACAGCCGCGCGGGGCTCCGAAACTTTCTGGGTATTGACTACCTACCAGACCACCCCAACCTACCCCGAAGACCCTAGCTTCGGGTTGGGGAGGCTACGGGTTCCACATGTGTCTTGCCTATGTTCCCCGACCCCCCACACTGGACATCGAATGCAAATTTGGGCCTTCGGGTTGGGTTGGGGTGGTTTGGTGGGTGGTGATATATGCCGTTCTTTCTCCTTCGAGTGCCACAGCTGCTTGCGGTCCACCTCGGTGACCGCCTTGCCGATGCGGTTCTCCGCCAGGTACCTCAGAAGGTCACGGCTAGGCACTGCGCTCCGCTCGCGCAGCTTGTGCAGCTTGAGCGGCGTCACGTGCGGGTCCTTCTCCGCCTCCTGTGGCGCGAAGCAACTGGGGCCAGACGGAAACGGGTCCTGGACTCAGGACCAGCGTGTCCTCCTACAGGCGGATGTTGGACGAATCAAATAATCGAAACATGTTCAAAAAGACAGATGTACATTATAGCTGTATATATACACATACATATACAGATGTGTATATGTATATGTATATGTACATAAGAGTGTATATATAGATCTAATTTATATATATATATATATATACAAATCGTCCCCATACTATTGTTTGACTAGTGTTGCATACTCCTCATGTAGAGGGACAGGCCCGGCTTAAGCCTGGACCCGGGGGCCTTCCTCAAAAACCAGCTTCTCCCACCAGGCCGTACGCTGCAACACAAAAACTTGTATCCGGGCGAAGGACCCCACCATGTGCAGCTGTGTGCCGTCGTTGCGGGTATCGCCTTCGGGAGATATCCGCAGGGGCAACGAAGCATGCGAATGGCGTGCCGATGTGGGACGGGGCCGCCATGTGGTTGGGCGCTGCCACTGGGGCCCCAGGTGGAATTCACTAGGGGCCGCGAAGCGTGTGAGGGTCCCTGTGGGGCCACGAAGCGCTGTAGTGGGTGGACGAAACGCTGTACTGGGTGGGGGAGACGCGTGTGGACACCGCCACAGGGGCCGTAGGTGGAGCTCCCTATGAGGCCACGCAACGGTGTGCTGGCCAGGAAAACGCCTGAGAGCACTGCCACTGGGGCCTTTGGTGGAGCTCCTTATGGGGTCACGAGACGTTGCACTGAGTGGGGTAGATGCGAATAAACACCGCCACTGAGGCGTTCGGTGGAGCTCCCTATTGGGCCACGAAGCGCTGTGCTGGTGGGGGGACGCACGCGAACACCGCCACTGAGGCCCTCGGTGAAGCTCCCTATGGGGCCACGAAGCGCTGTGCTGGGGGGGGGTACGCACGCGAGTACCGCCACTGATGCCCTCGGTGGAGCTCCCCTATGAGGCCACGAATCTTTATACTTAATGGGGGAGACGCATGCGGACACCGCCACTGGAGCCTTAGGTGGAGCTTCCTATGGGGGCCACGAAGCGCCGTGCTGTGTGGGAGAGGCGCATGTGGACAGACGCATGCGGACACCGCCACTGGGGCCTTAGGTGGAGCTCCCTATGGGGTCACGAAACGCTGTGCTGGCCGGGGGGACGCATGTGGACACCGCCACTGGGGCCGTAGGTGCAGCCCCCTCATGGGGCCACGGAACGCAACGCTGGGTGGGGGAGACGCATGTGAACACCGCCACTGGGGCCTTAGAGGGAGCTCCCTGTAGGGCCACGAAACGCTGTGCTGCGTGGGGGAGACGCATGTGGACACCGTCACTGGGGCCTTAGGTGGAGCTCCCTATTGGGCCACGAAGCGCTGTACTGGGCGGGGGGAAAGCATGCGAACACCGCCACTGAAGCCTCAGGTGGAGCTCCCTATGAGGCCACGAAGCGCAGTGCTGGTTGGGGGAGACGCATGTGAACATCGCCACTGGGGCCTTCGGTGGAGCTCCCCAAGGGGCCACGAAGCGCTGTGCTTGGTGTGCTGAAGTGTTGCCGATGGTGATGGCGATGGCGAGGATGGTTGTGGTAATGAAGCTGATGACGATGATGGCGATGCTGATACTGATGATGATGCTGCTGATGATGATGGTGATGGTGATGATGGTGGCGACGTCGATGATGTTGTTGATGGTGATTGTGATTGTGATGGTGATGGTGATGACGATGATGATGATGCTACTGCAGAAGATGATGATCATGATTATGCTAGTGGTGATGATGATGATGATAATGATGATGAGGAGGAGAAGGAGGAAGAAGAGGATGAGGGAAATAATGACGATGCTGACGATCCTGACGGTACTGGCGACGATGACTATGATGCCGACGATGATGATAATGACGATGCTGATGATGACGATGATGGTGATGCTGATGATGATGCTGCTGATGACGATGGTGATGGTGATGGTGATGGTGATGAGGATGATGATGATACTGATGATGCTGTTGATGATGATGATGGTGATGATGATGATGCTGATGATGATGATAATGATTATGATTATGATGATGATGATGATGATGATGATGATGATGATGATGATGATGATGATGACAAAGACGAGGACATGCGGAGGGCAGAGGCAGGGTTGGGAGGAGGGAGATGGGGGATGGGGAGGAGGAGGAGGAGGAGGAGAAGGAGGAGGAAGAGGAGGAGGAGGAACGCGGGGACTGTCTCTTCAAAACGAGGACCCAACACCACAGGAAGGTTGGGAACAACATCACAAAAAATCGTCATTGGAGCCCCAAACCCCATTTTTCTACGGCCAGCCAGATCGATATGTGATTGTCCATGGTGTGGATCGGGCTGGGGATGGGGACAGGGATCGGTGAAGCGATACTGACGCTCCCCTCGGGGCCCGCCGCTTGCTTCACGGCAACTCCTGCAGCGCCCTCCTCCTCCGCCGCTGCACCGCCGTGTTGTGGCGCGCCGCGCCCACTGCGGGGTGGCGGGGTCCTGGGCCATGCCTGGGGGGACGACAAGGTACCAACACTGCTGCCCTCCTGAGGGGCAACGATAAGGGGGCCAGCATAGGGGGGGAAACAATCGGCGATACGTCGTCGTCTGCCTGCTTCTCCCCTCCTCGTCTCCTTTCGCTGGGCAGCACAGCCTTCCCGGGACCAGCCCTCTCCTGCACCCGCGCGGGCTGACGCGGCGCGCAGGGCCGCCGCGGCAGAGGAGGGCGGTGGCATGACGGTCCCGTTGCACCCTGTTGCCGGGCGCGCACTTTGGCCGTCGGCAATACATCGTCGATAGATCGGTGATCGGCCCCCGATGGCAAATCCCGACGTTCCTGGGCGGGGTGGGACTGATGAATGGGCGAGCGGGAGTGGATGCATAACCTCCTACGCCTGTCCCCCCCTATCGTTGCCCCTGATCTCTGGACCGCCCCCAGGCTGCGTTCGGACCAGAATCTCGAGGAGAATCCAGCCGTAGCGATGAGGGATCTCCACGACGAGCAGCGGTATCGGTACCCTGAGATCTGACGTTGCGAAAGAATGCAACACCGCGAGTGATCATGACTGGAGCCCTCAGCCCCATCATTCTGCATCATTTTTCGAGCCGGATCGATATGTGACGGTCCCGGGGCCCAGAAAATGGGCGAGAACACCCATTGCGACACAAAACATCGCCCAGATCTCAGGGCTTCCTCCCAGAAGCGATGTCCCGATTTGTTCAATACGCGGTTCCAGTTCCCCGAGACCTGGTTTTCATCCTGAGTCGTTTTTAAACGGTCCAGGGGCCCAGTGAGCGCCTCCAGAGGCCGAAAACTACCAAAAAGAACGCCCGTCCTATGCTCTTCCACGATCCAAGCAGGTCCGCGGAGGGATCTCCACGACGAGCAGTGGTGTAGGCATCTACCAAGAAATGCGGCGTCCTGACTTTGTCAATACGCGGTTCCCGAAGTCCCGACCGTTTCCCCGGGGCCGGCTTTTCGCCCCGAGTCGTTCTTTAAAGATCTCCGGGCACGGCGAGGGCCTCCTTCGGAGGCCGAAAACTGTAAAAAACAGCGCCCGCCTTCGTCGTTCCACGACGCGAGCATGTCTGGGGAGAGGGATCTCCACGACGAGCAGCGGTATCTAGAGGCCTGCGTCGGAGCTGACGGGGTCGGAGGATCGCGCCGCATCGCCGATACATCGGCCGATGCACCGGCGATGCTTCGTCGACGTGGGTGATGCATCGGCGACGTCGGCGTGGAGGAAATCGGGCTCTACATCGAGCCGCATCGCTGATGCATCGGCGATGCGGCGCGATCCTCCGACCCCATCTACTCAAACCCCATCTGGGAGGCCTAAGGTATCGATATCTTAGCTGCCCCGATACGCCACACGCAACACGTAGCGTCGACTGAAAACGTAAGGTCTGACGCGACGCGTTCGCCAAAACGTGGCCAATACGTCGAGACAACACGCAGCTTAATGACACGGACGTTTCAAAACGGGCGTGTCGTGGGGACACCGAAAGGTACCGAGACTGCTACTTCCGGACCTCTCATGGGGTGCGTTCTGATCAGGATCTCTGGGCGAATCCATCGGCGGCGACGAGGGCCCTCCCAGGAGGCCCCAAACGGGGAAAACGAGGGAGGGTAGCGGTATGGGTACTTCTTCCTCCTCTGGAGTAGATATTCTCAGACCCCCGATGTCATGATTTGTTCATAACGTCGACCCTCAGAGTTCTCGACCCATTCCCCGGGGCCAGCTTCTCCGAGGCCCGGCGAGGGCTCCCCGAGGCCGAAAATAGCGAAAAGCCATCCGTCGCGATGCTTTTCCTGACCCAGACCTCCGACGTAATGATTTTTTCGTTACGTCGACACCCAGAGGTCCCGACCCTTTCCCCATGAACGGCTTTGCATCCTGAGTCGTTGTTT